AGTTGAGCCAACAATCCGATTTTAACTTCAATAAAAATTTAAAATAATTACTTACCACAACTGAATTTATCATTGTGACTGCTGTTGGTATTTTAAATGTTGGTTGAATCAGTGGAGGCTACTCGAAAAAAGCAAAAGAAAAATTAAACTTTTGGCAAATAACAAAAACCAAGCAACCAAGTGACTATAGCAATTAAAATAGTTACTCTGCTCATTTTGGTGTAAACTAATTCACACTCTAAAGACAAAACATGTAGCATGACAGTCATTTAAAGTGAAAATGCCCAATTTAGCTCCTTTGCATAAAATAAAGTGGCTCAATGTCATAACAATCCTTACTATACCATCAAAATACAGTTTTGGTTTTGAACTACCGGTAATGAGTTGGTGAGTAACAAAAAAACTATTTGATACCTTCAATTGTAGATAAGTACATGTTCTACATAAACCCGGTTAACATATTCGTTTTGCAGAATCACTATTTTAATTGGAACATGGACCACATGTATTACTACAGAAATTGACCATCATATTCGTGGACTGCCCTGGACATACATTATAATGAAAGATTCAAATATGGAAACAGAAATATTAAATTATAGTGTTCACCATGATTACAAGATATTACTATGGATAAAACTGATGTAATCATAGAACGAAGTACACCATGTGAAATTAGAGCAGATGAAGACATCATGTTTACTGTCTCAAATACCATGGTTACACACCATGATCAGGGTGATAATAGTAAAGAATGAAACGTTATTTGTGGGCAACAAGTCTTGTCGTTTTGTTTTCACAGAATGCACTGTCTCAGCACAGACCTGTGCAATATGACACCATACTAGCTGATTTTGGTTAAAATAGCACAACTAAACTTTTTAATCACATATTTCAGAATAGTATTGCATAGTTAGTAAAATATTAATGTTATACATAATTAAATCTTTGGAACAGCAGAAACAAACACATACCCTAATAACGATGATAAAATGTGTGGTTGAAGTTCAACAATTTCATGTGTAATTTGAGGTTTCAACTAGCTAGAACTAGAACGTCCTTATCGTAATGAAATCATGCGTAGAACGCACTCCGGTCAAAAAACTAGCAGCGTAGACTTAACACTCATTGCACAATTTTAGTATTTATTTAGTTTATTTCTACATTGCTTTTTAAGTTCCATTTATCATGGTTTAGTAAATAAAATAACTGAAATGATATATTATATGTGTCAAATATGTGCGACTGATGACTGACTTCAAAATGGTCCAAGTTTTGAGCATCCTCATCGCACAATATGCGTCAGATTGCTGTTTTGAGGACGCTGATCAGCAGAGTCGATGCATAACTGGGGGCTATCTCACTCTGAGAAATGTTGTGAGTAAGGTATATTACAAAGCCTACCTTGGAGAATAAAATGGTTGTTAGTAATGAAAAACATACCTCTATGTGGTGACAACGTACACGCTAGAAAAACCCCAATCATGAACTCATTGGAAGCCATTGTTGGCAGGATTGCTTCATTATTCCACCTCACTGAAAGCAATGTTCTGATAGTATCTACCATTGCTGTTACATGCATGTGTTGTCAACTGAAATAAATTGATACATTATACTTCTATTATAATTCATAACAAATTATAAAATAACAAGCCATTCATGGCACAGTCCCCATTAGTTATCAAATTCAGGATATAGTTTTGTTTATAGTAATACAGTTCAAACATGTCAGAGATATGGATCCAGAAGCTGATGCTTGATTATGAAGATTTTTTAACATTAAAATTGCCATTTTGTATTTGATCATGAAACGAGTACTTGTCCATATTGAGAGATAATGCTCTGGAACAGTATTAACTAAAACAAAATGGCCACCGATCAGCCATTTTGAACCAGATCGTCGAACTAATACATCTGTAAATCTATGACATGATGTATAATGAATGTATAAAATTTGAGCACAAATCAGTCAAAGCATGGCAGAGATATGGCACTGGAACTGTATTCATTAACACAAAGTGGCCACCAGTCTGCCATTTTAAATTCAAACTTAAAAAAAAATAAAAAATGAAATGCATCAAGGTCCCGTAACGTCCAACGTATGTACCAAGTTTGAACAAAATTCATCAAAATGCTTGATTTTGATGATTTTTTAGCACAAAAATGCCCGCCATTCGGCCATCTTGAATCAGATCGTGAAACAAATTTATGTGCATATGTATAATATTATGTATGATGTATGTGTGAAGTTTGAATGTAGTCCAGACGCACATACAGACACACTGATGCACAGACATATGGACACATAAACGCACGAATGCACAAGGTCAATCCATAAGCCCCTGTTTTCGGACTGCGTCCGAACAGAGACTAATAAGTATATATTTACAGGCATATTAAAAACATGCAACACACAAGATTCAAACGTCCATGGCAAGCACCTTACCACTGTAAACGCCACACTAAGAGTACTTCAAAAGATGTCTTGAAATAGCAGCATGTACAGAGCATGAGAAATTACAAATACCACAATGACCCATAATGCTTTGTTTCACAGTAGTTGATTTAACATTAGAAAATAAGATAGATCTTATTGCTTACCCATATTTTATGCTTGACTAAATTTTGGGTGTGAACACAACCTAAATATTTAGACTGGTTTAAATAAGTCACGTCTGTAAGGAATGCCAGTGCCGAGTCTAATTTCAACCTTTAAATTAGGCCAAATTGCACAATCTCACAATCAATTGGACTGCCCAGGAAACAAAATCATTGATCATTCATTATACATGTATGGACAGAAGAACAAATTCAATGAACACACGGTGGTACGAAAAGATCGCAGGCTGATTAAGAGATATTGAAATAGAGAGATCGGCAGCACAAGTGAAAAGAATGTTAAAACTTCTGCAGGTAGATTTTAAAACGGTAATGACCAAAAGAGAAGTATTGTGATTTTTGTCATGTGTCCATAAAACTATTTGTATTTACCAGTTAGGGTCTCGCTTTAATGTCCAGATGGGTCATTCCACTGTAGCTGAGCTTGTATTCAATAGTTCATGACAAACCATATTCCAATTGAACCAATCCCCCCCCCCCTTTCCTGCTATCAACAATTCAAACTAGGAGATGATTCAAACTACATCTTTCCCAAGATTTGCTTCGTAAATACAGAAAAAATTCTAAGAACAAACAACGCATTGAGCTCTGCCATGTTGGATACTTCTAACATTACAAATCTGCATTCCAAACAAAAAAGGACACTTTAAGGTAGCAAGAAGGGAATTTTTAATTTTGTTAATAACAAAACAGTTACTTTAGACCTTAATACGTCATCCCGCAAACAATGCAAGTTTATTTAACGTCTATTTTCAGCATTATTGTCAGTCAAGACTTCAAGGGAAAGGTCATAACTTTGGACAACTTTCTTTTAAATCTTTTAAAGTCAATATTCTATTTTACTAACACCATTTTACTAATGCAATGACAAGGTACAGAAAGACAGCAAAGAAGCCGATGGCAGGCGAGGCAAAGAAAAATCTTCGACTCAGGGTTATAATATGACCAACCTCGTGAGTGGTTTGAAAAGAATGTTGAACTATCCGCATCTATGTGAAAGATTTTCAACAACCGATGACGACACCGATACATCAGGTGAGCCAGTCTAAATAATGACATTTTTACTGTATGAAAGTGAATCAAATTTCAATCTTGTTTATTCAACAAACTAAAAATTGGGCAGGTCTTACGCTAAACATGAAACTGGCTAGTACTGACACATTAAACAATCAATCAATTATTTAATCACTTTTTTAAGACTTATCAGTTCAATACTTACCATGCATACATTTATTTCTGTACTTAATTCAAGAATAGTTTCTAGTGAATATATTCCTACAAAATAAAAAAAAAAAACATGCTACAATAAGACTGATGAATCATATTCCTATTTGAGTTTCTTGAAAGGCTGGTGTACAAATAAAAATGAATGAGCTGATATAATAATTGAAATATATTAACCTTTTCATCTTAATGTCCATGTAATCACAAACTAACAAACACAAGCTCCAATTAGTAAATCAAATGTACAAATAATTTTAGTTCATCACTGTTGTTGCAGTTACTTATTTCATGAAAAAGTACTGATTAAATTCACTACAAAAAAGCAAAATATACTGCATCCTTCGTTGCAAAGTAAAACATTTGTACTATAATACAAATTGATCAAAACTTAGTAACAAAGAAAAAAGAATAAATTGTTTTACATATTGTATAAAACACAACAAAAATATACAAGTTTATAGTAGAATATAGTAGAGTTTTAAAATAAAAAAAAATGTATAGTAAATTTGATGAATAAAAGCAGAGCAAATCATAAGTATGCAGAGTGTCAAAAGGCCAGCCGAGTTTCTGAGAGTTGTGACCAGTGTTGAAAGGCCATCTAAGTTTCTGAGAGTTGTGACCAGTGTCGAAAGGCCATCTAAGTTTCTGAGAGTTGTGACTAGTGTCGAAAGGCCATCTAAGTTTCTGAGAGTTGTGACCAGTGTCGAAAGGCCATCTAAGTTTCTGAGAGTTGTGACCAGTGTCGAAAGGCCATCTAAGTTTCTGAGAGTTGTGACCAGTGTCGAAAGGCCATCTAAGTTTCTGAGAGTTGTGACCAGTGTCGAAAGGCCATCTAAGTTTCTGAGAGTTGTGACCAGTGTCGAAAGGCCATCTAAGTTTCTGAGAGTTGTGACCAGTGTCGAAAGGCCATCTAAGTTTCTGAGAGTTGTGACCAGTGTCGAAAGGCCATCTAAGTTTCTGAGAGTTGTGACCAGTGTCGAAAGGCCATCTAAGTTTCTGAGAATTGTGCAAATTTTTCAATATGAAATAATTAAAGCAACTCATTCATTCATTAAGTGCACTTTACGCAGTCAATTGCTAATGTTCTTGTAGCATGAAATGGAACTAAAATGAAATGATGTTTTAAAATTTTGTTGGAAAAATTAGTGAGGTGATGATTACTCTTCAGCACTGCTATATTCAGCAGTTACTGATACCTCATATCCACTAGATTCTAATGACTGATCACTCTTTAGTACGTCAACAACTTGATTTTTACAACGACAGAAATGGAAAAACCAACAGATTAGTTCACAGGGAGCTTGTGTTGTTGTTTGTGAAGACAGCATGTTATGTCTTGGATGAGGATAACCATCATTTTGTGGTATCAGATCTCCAACATTACTGGTATACAATTGATCCCCACTTCCACTGGTTATGGTTGGCTCCATTGGTACTATTTAAAATAAAGAAAATAATCTACTGTTACCGGGAAAAATGTCACAAAAAATTGGCATGCATGCAGAACTTGTTGTTGTACCATAAAATATTAGTCATGTGTGCAAGAGAATTGGTCCATTGAACTTATTCACACTGAAACGCTGATACCTCAGCGAGAGTGAGAGGGCCATACAACTTGTCTTTGCTCCCAAATAATGCTTCATTCTATACCAGTGGTTACCATGGTAACATAGGTCGGCGATGATGGTTGAGAATGGAACACTTTAAGTGAATAGCAACCAGTTGGTTCATGGAAATCCTCAAAATACTGAACAAAATATGTAAACATGTCCTGTATTTTTCCAAAGTTTAAACAAAATTGGTCAAGGCATGGTCAAGAAAATATTAAATAAAATGAGCTCAGGGCATACCTCAAAAACGGTTGATGACATGTTTAAATTTTACTTTGACTTTGCTGTGGATGCTCGGTGGTTAATTTAAAAAAATATGCAAACCATTAATACATACTGCCTTTGTATCAAATTTAAATGAATCTGAGAGACAGCAGGACACATAATAAAAAACAAAATGGCCATCTGTTGGCCATTTTGAATAAAATCCATGATGAGTGATCAATAAAACGTTTGAATGAATATGGTCCAGGCGGTTGATGACACATTGAATTGTTGTTGTTTTTTGTTGTTTGTTTTTAGGAGGTGGGATGCCTGGTGGCCAAAGATCAATGAAACAAATCAACATGAATATCTCTTGTCTTTGTCTCAACTTTGAACAAAATCAGTCCATGGATGAGTCATGTCTGAAGAACGATGGATATAATAAAAAAATACCTCCAACAGGGAGAAATAAAAATTTACTACAGCTGGTTTTCAACACAAATATTTTGACTTTTGTTAAGTTTTTCATGCCATAATATTTGAATAACCTTGATCTTAATTGTGAATGTGTCAGGCTGGTGGGTGTGTATTTGTGCAGTCAAGTGCAGCCAATACTTGACATATATTCCATGTAGTGTAATTAATATAATATTCCCTTACATCTGTCTGCGTTTCAGCTGGAGAAAATTCAATTGATGTAAAAGCCATATGACAATGAGCAGAAGACTAGCAATGATACGACTCCCATGTCACAAGCCACAGTTCCCTCTCTTCATTACAAATTCACAAACTAAACCTGTTTATAGTCTGCACTTTCCTTCACAGATTAAAACAAAAATTGACAAATTTTTTGAGTAAAAACTAAAAATTGACTCAAATTTTGTTTGTTGGCACCAAAATTAGGGTCTATTTCCAGAAATGTTAAAGAATATAAGAAAAAAGTGCTGAAAAATTTGGGCAAGAAAATCTGATGGTGAAAAGGTTAACACATACACAAGCCATGTTCTTGGTTTCTTCAAATGAATTTCTTACGACTTTGTTTTGAAGAATATATATGTATTCATCTGATGAACTTGCTATCTACATTTAGTTATTGAAAATTGAGAAAAGGTTGGACCCCACGATTGCCGTTACAAAACTAGTGATCTCTGACCATTCAAATTGAAATTTAAAAGGTCTTACCAATGGAATAGTTCGCCATAAATCCACACCTTACAATACTGTCATCGCTACGGAACTTCATCCACAGTCCTGAATGAGACACCACAGGTTCCGGTAACTCATCACCACAATATATATCATACAAAGGTGACGTCGAGTGGAGTCCCAGTCTGATCTCTAAATAATCAAAGCCACAGACTTCTGTGTATTCCATGTCAAACTTGATGAATTTAAGAATCACTTTACTATCAGGTGGTGTTTTGATAACCCAATGACATTCATGGTTTTTTGGATAGTTGTATGGGAAATAGGGGGATTTCAACACACCCTCTGGCTCTGTCAAAGTATAGCTGCAAGCTGGTTCTAGGAGATAAAGATAAAAACAATCAAAATCACTTGTTTACAATACCATGCATACAAGGATAAGTTCACAAAGCATCTACAACAAGACATGCAAAGAGCTTACGTGTGAAGTGAATTCATTATTCTTTGACGTTTACTGAACAACTAATATTCAATCATTTAAGCGCCCCAAACATGCTTGTGCTGCTGACCAAACTGTTGTTAAATTACAAACAAATACAGGCTAAAAATAGCATTCTGATATTCATCATAACTCCCAGCATGCCACTCCAGTCTGTGGTTCTCAAACTGTAAAGGCAACAAGACTTGACAATCACTTTCATCGAGACAGACATACTGTAAAACATGTCTTTTTCGCGAGCATGTCTTTTTTGCAAATTTAGCGAGAGAACTAATTCGCTAATTCAAGATGTCGCTAATGACTTTATTATCAATTCAAAATGGCCGCCAAACAAAGAAATCAACAATGACAATAGAGATTCGCTAAATCAACATTTCGCTATTACGCCATTTTACCACAATTCGCTAAAATTGCATGCCGCTTTTTCAACATGTTTTACAGTACATTAATATGATATTTACAGTACCTCCCATTTGAGCTCAGAACACTAGAGCCAAGCTTTGGAGGAAGAGCAATTACATATGAGATAACATTTGGAATACATTTTAAATTAATAAATGGTCAATTGTAGTTAGCAAATGGCCCAACAATTAATGGTCAATAAGAAAAGATTTGTTCAGTTTTAACAAATATTTGGATATTAGTAACTAATATAATTTGGTTAGCCAATCAACAACTAGCAAATGGTATTTGCCATTAAATTTATATGACTTGCTAACAAGATTGGCCAGCTACACTACAGACAGGTGAGGTTAGAACAACCAACAAACAGGTGGCAACATATTAAAAATAATCAATACAAATTGACCAAACAATAAAAAATTTCAGTTTCAACAAAACAAGGTTTGCTTTACCAGTAAACAAAGTTAGGTCATTTACTTACTGGGGCACTGATACAATTCTCTGGCCTGGATTACATCACTTTGACTCAGACCGTCTCGTTGCCCTATCTCTACGTCATGCATCCGTGGTTCTATCGTGTCCTAAAAAAAATAATAATTCTGAGTCTGTAAATAGGACTGAACGATGGACAGGAAACAATTGTATGAGTGGGTGATATGCAACTTCAATCTGATAAATACTACTACCAAATAAAAAAATAGTGAAGTTTTAATGGAGCTTCTTTCAAATATCATCTCATAACATTATGTAGATATCATGAAAATGTTCAATATGGAAAAAGAAGTAAATACAAAAACTAAAATAGCAATACATATGTATAACTGCTGTATTATTGAAATAATTTTGCTGTGGCTTTAGTGAGGCAATTAGCTTCCTATGAAACAATAGAAATTATTATCATGCTAATGAAGGGTATTATGCTAATTCAAATAATCTACTAGTAATATGTAAATCATGGGCTATTGTTATGCAAATGAACAACCATGCTGTCCAGTAGTAATTCTAGTAGAGAACACTGGTACATGTATAGGTAGATATACAATATTTACATAGTTTGCAGTGACAACTACTGACCTTTCCATTCCTGGAATTGGTATTTCGACGATAATGCATTATGGAGTTGTAATCATATGCTTGACCATAGGAGTTAATCTCTAAGGTATTTTTCTTGATAAAGCGGTCTTTTTTATCATGCTTGATATTCTCCGCATATATTTTAACAAATTTATCTCTGTCTGGTCTGAAAGAAGAACAATACTGCGAGTTTGTTAAATTTGCTAAAATTGATATTCATTATAATTGTGTGAAGATTGAAAATTAATCTAATTAAAAAATGACCGCCAAGATCTCCTGGAGATCTGCCCTCCAAATAGCGTTTCATTCTCTCGTGCCATCGCGCCCACTGTTACCATGGTTACATAGCTCGGCCAAACAGTGGACGTAATCACAACTGGGAATGGAATATTATTTGGAAGGCAATTAAAACAAGTTGTGCATCTGTCTTACTGTCAGTGAGAACTTGCCTGCTATTTACACCAATTTATGAGAGTCGCATAAAGTGACGGTTTTGCTAGCCTGGGGATTGCCTGATGAGGCTAGTGTGCTGTTGCGCTGCAGCTGGAACTACCTCGGAATAATGTCATCAATTCGAAATACTGTAGAGTACTTTATTTCCACTTAGAATTTATTTTCACTGAAGGGATGGTTCAGTGAAAATAAAATCCAGCTAATACATTTTTTTTCTTATATTTCGCATTCAAGTTATCAAAAATCAGTGAAAATAAATTCCATACAAAACACCCTAAAAACTTTTCAGCAAAAATTAATTTCAGCTAAAATAAAGTATTTTACAGTATTGAACTTACTATATACAAAATTATAATCATCGATATGAGATTATAGTTTTTTTATATTTTTGTTCTCACCACGTAAGGCTCTGTTGTAGAAGTTACATTGTATATACAGGTGTTGTACATGTCGGGGGACCCTCCTATGTCTGCAGATTGACCCTGGGTATGCTTACCGATTATGTTCATGCCAAAAACCAATTACATGTCCTATCTCATGTACAACAATGCCAAATTCAGTACAAATCACATCAAGTGATACCTGCTGTCTACCATCACCACGGCGTCCAACAAGAGAACAGCATCTGTGAGAAAAAAAGAATTTTAAAAAAGTATGGTAATATTAGTAGTACTAAGTTTCTAACTTTTTAACATTTTTTTACTGAAACGAACATTCTGTTGATAAATGAACATATGTCATTTTATTAAATTTCTATGGAAAATCTAGAAATTCTAGAATATTCTACAGTCAATCTATAGAAATTCTACAGAAAGTCTATGGAAAATCTATAGAAAACCTGTAGAAATTATACAGAATATCTATAGAAACTCTACAGAAAATATTTAGAAATTCTATAGTACATGTCCAGAAATTCTACAGTCAATCTATAGAAACTCTTTGGAAAGTCTACGGAAAATCTATAGAAAACCTGTAGAAATTATACAGAATACATGTATCTATAGAAACTCTACAGAAAATATTTAGAAATTCTATAGAACATGTCCAGAAATTCTAAAGTCAATCTATAGAAATTATACATAATATCTATAGGAATTCTATAGAACATTTTTATTAGGTGCCTCTACAGAGATAAGAAAAGACATTAAATAAAATAACATCATCACAGTATTGATAATTTGTGTATTATACCGGGGGTAAGTATTTCCTTGCAACACACATGCTATTCTGTCCGTGGCAGTATATTCAGCCTATTAGTAAAATGGTCTCATATACTGAATATAGTTATTGAACCTTTCAGATTATTTCCATTGGCAACTTACCCACAGTTCCCATGCGCGAATTCAACATAATCTTGTTGTTTCTTATGTTCAACAAATCTTATACATGTGTGTTCCTCCCAGTGGGAAATGGCTTTCTTGATAACGTCATGTTGATAGCCTGTGATGAGAAGACAAATCACATGTACATGTGTGTAACTCGGGAATTAAAGAATCACTGTCATCAAAACTTGATCAGAATACACGATGTCAGTTTCACAGCAAAAAAAAAAAATACGAGTAAAAAGCCAACCAGAAAAGAATAAATTATCATATAACCAATCAGGAGATGTCAATGATCACTCTACTTGCTTAGGCTGAGAACAAAAATATCTCTGTTTCTCGTTTCCGAGCGCATCATTTTGAACCATGCGCCTCGAACTTTTTTTTTTCCTTCTAAAGCATTCCAAAATGCGCTTGTACTCGCACTTGTCTCAAATTTCCCCAATTTCCAAGAAACGAGAAACAGAGAATTTGTTTTTTTCGTGGCCTTATCATGCTTACAAATCAAAACCCAGGAGACATAATTATCATTATAGCAATTGAGATATTTCAGAAAGATTATTATAACAAAGACATTTTCAACTTGTCGGCCATTTAACTTACTATTTAATTCCTTATTGATTGTATAGGGAACTATAGCGTTTGGCCACTTTTTCTCCTGGTTACTGGTAACAGCCCTTCTTTTCCTGAACATATGTGAGAAGTACTCCTTCTTTGGAATTGCAATATCATGTTCAATGAGGATATTATCTTGAAAGAAAAAAGAAATTAAAGATGAAATTTCGGTTTTATAAAATAACATACCTGGTACATAAGCTATGTTTTTTTTCCAATCCAGGGTCAAAATTACTAAATGACCATAAATGAGGTAAAACATTGAGGATGTTCCTCCTATGCATATACAAACAGCACCTACCTAGACAAATCAACAATAAACTTTTGATTGATTAAAAATTAATTTTCCAACTCTTTCCTGAAATATCACCAGGTGTTTACTCAATTGGTGCTTCTAAATTTAAACCAATTAAAATTAAATAGATAAATCAATTATCGAAGTCCATGGCGGAAACTGCTCAGATACCCCACCCGAATGCATTCATGCTCGTTAATATATTTGTTGACAGTTTCAACCAATCAAAGATATTTTCACAAATGTTTGCCTCTCATGATGCTAAAAAGTTCAAGCCTTGAAAGGTCACTTAAAGCACGGTGGTCATTACGCAATGTTTGTAAATAATTACATGTAAATAAATAATGTTTTTACAAGCATTGTATATGTTGCTATTAGTCCCATATCGAACCTGACACAGTGCAAAGACCCCTGCCCTTTACAGCACTGAAATTATGTTGTGGATGTCTAGGTTTTTTGTTGATCAACAATAACCTATTTTACCCATACTTACATTGCAATTTTTTTAAAAATAAAATTTAGTTTATGTTAGAAATATTACGATTACGTCATTGTTATACTTGGATACAATCGCACATTTTGCCACTCGCAATTTGCTATTGTTACAATCTGTCACTTTTCTGGTTGTACCTTTTGGTGTCCAAAATAACAAATGGTTAACTAATTTTCATGACTGAGTGACTTGAGCTAGTCGACCGTAGACTTTTCCAAATAAATTGTAGCCATCCCAACAAAAAAATGGTGACGAGTTGAGTAGTGAAGAAAAGTCAAGAGGCAATAATGAGGTGGATTTGAGTTTTAATATGGGCAACACTGAAGCAGCAACCAAGTTTGATTCCTGTAAATGTATGTGTTAATTTGCAGATGACAAAACATGTGAATTATGCTCATGTCTGTCAGCCTTGCATGGTTGCCAAGTTAGATGACAGCACAATGCATTATGGGAAAATTATGCTATCAATCTCCTTGTGATAGGATACATCACTGAACAATGCGCAGCACGGCAACCATGGTGTTTTACCACATAGCAAATGTGAAGACCAGATTATTCACAAAATTAAGACCATCATACTTTTTGTATTTAAATTCTCCGCTCAAATATCAGTACATCATCTGATACACATGGTTTTGCTAAAGCAAGCCATCCATACCCAGCAATCCTCACAAACGTGTGCATGATTGTGCTGAATTTGACCTCGGTTTAACTGAATGATTTGAATGGGTGTGCCATGGAGCTGGATCTATCAATTAGCATTCACATCACAACACGACTTCGAAACTATCAAAGTATGCTTCATTGAGTTTGATTTTGTTAACAGTGAATACAGGTTTATAGTTGGAATTCTAGCAATGTATAATCGTGAGGCGATGACTGAATAATAAACTTTGGCTGGACAAGATGACGTCAGTGAAGCATTTGCCACATTTTTTTTAATCTTTTTCAAATTGTTAATTATGGAACGAATAGTCATAATATTCCAGTGCAACAAAGGTATTCACTCAATGGCAGTTGAATCCATCCAGCCAATCAATGCCCACAGCACACAACCACACCATTCAAAAACAATCCATTGTTATTCAATCAATCAATAGAAACCTCTCATTTCATATACAACACATGTAAAATACATTGTTTATTTACATGAAATTCGCACGCGCTGACGACCACCACACTTTAAATATTTTTAAAGATGAAGGAAATACTTTAGGGAATAGATTAATGCCCAAAAATAAACAAAGATGTTTTCTAATTTACATAATCACAATATTTGTAATTTTTGTGGCTAAATAAGGATTTCTATTAGCAAAAAAAAACAACAAAACAAACTAAGCCCCTATCCCTGCACCACCCACTTTTACAACTAAGAAAATATTTAAAAGTCACCAAACAATTAACATTTTTCAATTGTGCTAGTATTTGTATTCTGTTCTTTAATGTGTTCCACTGAACAACTCTCATATACTTGAAAAACGAGCTAAGATATTCAAACAATGTTACTGCTGAATTACCATAATGCATTTGTTGTTCTCAATAAGTAAACTAAAATTAACAAACTAAATATTATTTTTAAAGAACTGTAAATACCTATAAAATATCAGCACAAAAACTTAGTTCGTCACTACCATTATCAAAGGCGCGATGTGCGCATGTGCGGTACTGGCCAGCTGATGACGGAGTGGATCCAGGCCTCGCACGATGCCGAGGTCTTAGCGCAACTTTAGCGATCTTACAACAAGCTTGCCGTGTGAAGAACTGCCATTATCACAACGACCGCACTTGCCAGGGTACTGTACATTTACTTGGTTAAATCATTCAATCGGCGCGTCAAGAAACCTACCGACCTTCGCGCTATCTATCTTAAAAGTTTAGATAAACAACATACCGTCTCCGCACGGGTCGCCTACATCGCCGCCGGTTTCCTCGATTGCATTTGACAGCATAAAGACAGTAAGTAATGTTAATACATTCAGGTACATGTTGTCTGTCAGAGATGCCCTGGAACAGTATTTCGATTAGTAGATGTGTAAGGTACCAGATCCCTGATGATGAAGATATACAGCATCCGTGTATGTAAAAACAAATGAACAAGGTCAATGTGTTTGTTCGTTATTTGTGCACTCGTTGGATATCGAAAACGACTCAGAATCGAATGTATATATATATGTATTACAATTAATTAGCTATATTCCAGTAATTTATCTATCTACTAGTTTGTAAAACCTATTGTTTTATTTTTAATGAGATTTAACTAACTTTATTAAGGTTTGATTTAAATTGCTGTGTATGTGTTCCATATGGCGGACTTCATACAAGGAAGTAATTATAGTCAATCATAGTAAAATCATAAATTTACTATCAACGTTACAAATCCATTCTTTCATTTTTGTAAATATTTATAAATTTCAATGTGTAAGTTACACCAAACCAGCCAATCAACGAACACAGTGCACAATTTTATAATTTGAAAAATGGGAAAAAGTTTCTTATTAAGGCCTCCTCACCTCTAACCCTAACCCTAACACTCCAGCCCCCTAATATAATTTAGTATGGCCTTTAAATAATTTTAAATGACCCAATAAGGGGTATATACAATTGAAATAGAAGGGGCTTATCTGGAGGGCAGGGTTAGGGGTAGGTGACCCTAAGGAACTCTTACCAAAAAATGTTCCAATGTTAATTATTCCATCGGCCAATTAAACTTGTTTCAGTCAACATTTAGGTTGTTTGATAGTCCACTAATTCATTGGGTCGAAGATTTGAGTTTGTTGGTCAATTTGATAGTTTGATGTGAGTCCAAGAGTTTGTTGAGCTGAAGTTGTTATAGTCCTGAAGTTCATTAATTTGGGTTCAAGTGATCATTTGTTTGATGTTTCTGTAGTTTAAGGGTAATTCCAAGAGTGTTTGCTTGTAACCACCAGGATAAGATTTCTCTTTTTTTTCGTGAAATATGCGTATAAGTATTGTGATTTTAGATATTATTATAACTAAAAATTTCAAATTAATAATATTTTTTAAGGAACAACTTCATCATACAAATATTAATTGCAATATTCTTATAATAGTCAAAGATTTCATATTGTTTTTGAGAAAGTATTTGGTTATTTTCAGTATTACATGTAGCTGTAAATAACCCCTCATTAATGCATGGTAATATCAGGATCACAGTGGCCAGGTACACAGGTACTTTGCTATCCTGGAAATAATAATATAACATATGAATCTTAATATATATATATAGGATACGCACACAAATAATCGAAGATTCGATTCTGTTCAAACCTGTTTGCTTGCTAATAGCTTTAGTATAATTTTTGTAACTTATTGTATACATGACTCTTTGCCTATATAGTTAATATGTAAAAATTAATATCATTCCAATATGGAGATCCTGCTGAAGGTCTGATATATGTTTGTGAATTGTAGTAAAATTTGACAATTCAGCCTTGTTCGAAAAAAAAGTGATTTCTTGTCATTAGAACAAAATTCAAAATTGTAAGCAAATGAAATTCAAGCAAACTATTTAAATGTGCTGAATAACATAAATTTGAACTTTAGGTAAATATTTCTTGTAATTCGCACATACAGCACCAGAAATTATCTCAGAATACAAATTCATTTAACAAATTAATCAGCCTGGTATGATTGTAGTGTATCTTTCATATTTTAATTTTTTACAGGAAGAATTAACAATGAAGTTATTTTTATGGCTATATCTTCTTGTATGCACAATAGATGTATATGATAGTGCATTGCTTCGTGATAATGGCTATGTTGCCGCTGTGTACGAACACGTTGCAGTAGTAGATCCTGACACTTACCACCATGTCACGTCACGCGAAAAAGCTTTAAAGTTGATGAATCAAAACTTGGACATTTATGATGAGCAGACAAAAATAGCGGCATCAAAGGTGAGAACTCGAAAAAAAACAAAACGTTACGAGTGGAGTAATGTTAAAATATAATTTGCACTTCATTGTTGAAAGGTGTCCGCACATATCATTAATTCTATCAGTAGTTGACAGTAAGGTCATATCAGTTGCGAAAATGTTCCAGAGGTCAGCCATCTATTCGAACATTCTTTTGTTTGTACCAAACGCACATATTTGCAGATTAGATCAATAACATAAATCATTATTAAATTTTTTTTATCCTAATTGCTAATACAGATTGTGAAAGTATAATTAGCTTCTAAGGAAGAGAATATCAACCAAAAAATGCATTTATTCTATATAATTAAAATACAACTTATTCAGACTGACAGACAGATTTTTTTTTTCTTTTCAAAGGGTGCACAGATAATAGTATTCCCAGAATATGGATTGTTTTCCTGGGATTATGACCGGAATACTATTTTACCATTCTTGGAAAGTGTACCATCTCCATATGGCAAAAATATCAATCCATGCGAAGATGTAATTCGATTCAATGCTACTAAAGTTTTACGTCGCTTAAGCTGCATCGCTAAGTCTCATAGTGTCGTCATAGTTGCTGGTATGGGGGCGGTGACACATTGTAACCCAGTAGATGACGCGGCATGTCCCCCGGATGATAGATATCAATACAATGCAGCCGTAGTGTTCGATAGTGATGGCAAGCTGATTGCGCGATACTATAAAGTAAACCTGTTTGCTGGAGAGAAAAACACATTCAATGCCGGCACTGTGGGAAAAACAAACTATGGTGTATTTCACACATCTTTTGGATCATTTGCAATTATTATTTGTTACGATATGCTGTTTTCTAAACCTTCCCTGCAGTTGATATATGACGAAAATATTAAAAACATTGTATTCCCCACCGCGTGGGTCAATTGCTTACCCACCCTCACTGCTGTTGGGATCCAGAATGCATGGGCGATGGGTCATGGGGTCAACTTATTAGCATCCAATCTCCATTTGCCAAAGGATGACGCCACTGGAAGTGGTATATTCTCTAGCGTTAGTGGGGCTTTGAAATATCATCATGATATGGCAACGTCAAATCCAAGACTCTTGATAAGCCATGTTCCAGCTATACAAGGTGACCATCGCTGCTGTACTAATGATGATAAAACGGGCATGCGAACTAGTCATATAGAATCTCCTCTGAAATTCACTCCAGAAACAGATGAAACATTTTACGGCATAATGGATAATGATCTTTTCACATTTGTTTTATTGAATGAAGATATTGATAGCATCTCTGTGTGCGATGGTTGGTTGTGTTGTAACTTGTCTTATTCTAAACAGCCAGAAAATTACAGCACCGATTTGTATGCACTTGGCGTATTCAATGGGTTTCACACAGCATATTCCAAATTCTATCTCCAGATATGTGCCCTTATCAGGTGTGCCGGAGACGACCCATCTCGTTGCGGTGCCCCCGTCAGCACCGCTACTACCGTCTTTAAAAAATTCAGTCTGACTGGTAATTTTGACCCCGGTGTCTATCTATTTCCAATTGTTTTAACCAATCATGTGCAGCTACCCGCTATATCTAAGTGGCATACAATATATCCATATGACCATATATGGAGTGAAGGTGAATTAGATGACCCCCTAGTGTCGTCAGTAATTTATGGTCGGTGGTTTGATAGAGATCCTTAACACAATTTAGTTTTTCGATATTAATGAACATCATTTTTTATGTATGGCGGACTACATTGAAACTATATTTTGTACTATTTGCTATATTCCTATCTCTGATTTTCAATAAACTGTACACCTATCATGTATAATATAAATTTTGACTCATTGTTCTTGTCATAAGTTTATTTCCATAAATCCACACTAAAGTCACAAGATGGCTTCCTATCTCCTGGCACCTTTTCGGCAGGGAATATAGTCATTACCAGAGTCCATCTATCCATCCATCCATCCATCCATCCATCCATCTTAATGGAGTCCTATCAGAAGCACTATTGCAGATAGAAACATTCACACAGCGTTATATTGGTTACATTTGACATTAGACTTGATTGATAAATTTCATGACCATATATGGTCATGAGACCTTATTAAAATGCATAAATGTCATTTGTCTGTATGGACTCGTATCAGGGGCACTATTGGCGAGTGCACACTAGATCTTATCATAAGTGTTCATAGTCATAACAAAAGAAACTCAAAAATGGTCTTACTGTTATCAAGTTATGGGTGTTGATTCTCTACCTCAGATCATGTCAACTACATGTACATTAGTGTCGTCTCTTGGTCCACAAGATACCTATTTTCATCACTTTGAATTTCACAAGGAGTTTATTCTGTTGGACTTCCGAGATCCAAATCAACTGTTTTCACTGGAGGCTACAGTGTGCTTTGACTAGGCTTTAGCCAGTGCGCCAGAGTCCAGTGGCTAGGTCCAACAATTTTCTATTTGAAAGTTACCACCCTCCCTTCCAAGTGTGCCAGAGCCTAGCTGCTACCCCTAGTGCCAAGTCCTGGAGTATTACTGCAATCTGAGTTGGCGATCATGAATATGTTATTGATGGAAACCACACAGTGCAATGCACTGACTGTTATTGAATAGTTGTTACATTGAAGACCATTGTTGTGTAGGGAGCCCACCATGTTTTATTTCATGGCCCCATGCTATATAGATTATGCACATGGATTTAAAGGTCTTTCTAATGTACTATTGATTGCTCTCTGTACAGAAATGCTGGAATTACTTATGTGTCATTTCTCATCTCCTCAGTCAGGTAGCAAGGTGTCAAAACCCTGAAGGTTTGTGGTGTATTACCCCCCTGTCTTAACACCCATCATTTCAGTTTGAATACCAGAACAAGATATACATGAACATATTTTGAATGTTTCAAAAATTTGTATGTAAATAGAATGTTAGTTGTAACAAATAAATCAGATTTCAAGGTGGTTCATAATTTGACAGTTCCACCTGCCAATGCGAGCTAACCAAACATAACTGGTAAGCAAGTAAGAAAATTATTAGAAAGTTTCAGTCCCTGTGTTCCAGAAGCCTAAATTAAGTTCACCACAGCTGGAAAGCTTGATTACAGACCATTTTGTTTTCTTGGTATTAGAGAATGGTTATGAAATGACACTAGTTCAACACTTATATAACAGGAACCTCCCAAGAACATAAGCTGTCAGACCTAGGGAAGATTCAGTTAATACTGTGTTAGTGTGAAAGGGGCCAATAGTCTCTTGTAATGACAGGCGAATTCATGGGACAGTTTGAATATTGAATGATTGTGGACCTGTCCAAGCTAGTTTTGTTCCTAAAAAGACCATGTTATAGTTATGACAGGCGACATATTCATCAAAAGATTACATGACGTCTGCACATACTAATACATTCAAATCTTCTAGGGCAAACTTATATGTTCATAATCCTTTCATTCAAGGTGACATCCTCTCTGATGTTGGCAAAATACTTCAAGTAGTGGTAGCTACAGTGCAAATACTCCCAAGTCTATATCCGGGTGATTGGCTATTCCAACTTGCAGACTGACTGTGTTTAATCCAAGGTTTATCACAAGTAGTGTGTGTAAAAAGTTTACAGGAATTGTTAACAACCCAGAGAATCTCATTTGGAGCCAACACAGTGTTTAATCATGCAGTTGAACACATTAAACAGAGTTCTTCATCCGTCTCCCGTGAATTGCCATCACTTCAGTGCTTTCAGTCCAAGAAAGAGCACATCAGTCACACGACTGCTATGATTAAAGAGGCCAATGCAAAGAGTATCTCTCTAATTAGCAATACAGAGACTGGAGTCAGATGCACAAGCATTAATTAGATTATAGTTGTCACATACGACTTGTTTACCACTTCTGTGTCACTAAGAATTTTCTAGAACCATACTGTGTCTGGGTGGAATATTTTAGATTTTTTTTAGAAACTGGTTGAATAGGTAATATAACACTGTAGAAGGCAATTGGAAGTAATATGGAACATTCTAGAAATTTATAGTAAATTCCAGACTCATTATGTATGCTGATGTAATGGTCTATTTATAGACAGTGGGGGTATATATATAGGGAAGTTGTTTAGCACTGAGTTCAGATCAGATCGGAGATCTCGTTGAATTGTATTGGAGTTTAAGTATCTAGTCATTGGAGTAGTGGAGTTTTACCGCGTTATTGTACTTGATGTTTGCAGAGTATAATAATACCAGTACCAGTTTAAACCTCATCTGTTGGCTCCGTGTTCGTATGTTATCATCGCCGCCAGGGAAGTCTTTCTGTTACTGTTGCCATTTTGGTATTTGAACCATCACACCTGTACTATACCAATAATATTACGTTGCGTGTGACAATAGTACATCTAAACCATGATTCATTATGACCCATGTGCTCACAAGTGAGATTTTCTAAGATTAGTGAACAAAGACAGTTGTGCATTCCCACCATTCTCATTGCTGTTGAAGAAATTTTAGTGGACTGACATACTGACACTGATAGCAAGCGTGGTATAGTAACCTCTGCTTCTCTTAGTATCATGATGGGTCATTCGAAGGAGCTGCCATCAGACAACACATTGCTCACCAATGAAACCACAAATGCTTCAATTCTTTGCTTGAAATTGCTCAAACAACTCAATCATGCAAGAAGTTTTTTTTTAGTCTAATCATCAAGTGTGCATATTTTATGCATTCCATCAAAGTCTCTGGAGAGTCTATACAAATAGGTGTATCACAAGGGGGTAATCATCCACTTTATCCCACTATTCTTGTAGTAGCCGATTATTTACTTTATTTGTTCAATGAGTAGTTTTGTTCTAAGGTTTTCTATACATACGGATTTGACAACTCATAAGATAATTCCATGCTTAAACCTCTGGTCAGAGAGGCAGTAAAAACTGTTTTCATGTTGGTTACCAACCAACTGTTGCCTTGGTCTCTGTCTGCAGTCTTAGATATGTTGAACAGATCTATATGGGATCGGACAGGATGTCTCTACTTTCGATTGGTCTCGACAAACAGTATTTTACTGGCCCTAGTTCAAGACTAATTTGCTCGACGCAGGCATGATTCAGAACAGTCTGAAAAACGCCCCATAAATTCTCAAGATTTGCTATTCATGAAATTTTATTCAAACTACAAAATTAGATATGATCATTTCTCAAAGATGTCCCAAAAAGAATATGAACTTTCTATTGTTATGCAAACAATGTTTGGAAGCTGCCGCGGTTGTATTCATATGATTATTGTAAACTGCTATTGTAAGTCTCTCTGGCATTCTCACATATGAGTTGTAAATCGTACACAACTTGAAAACCTACTTCTTTATTCAAATTGTAAAATGATCAATTTGGTTTTATTAGCCAAGATCAAATTGCTTGAGTACATACATTGTTTTCTATTAGTTTGAAGAAGTTCGCTAAAGCTGGGGTTCACCCAAAGCATACAGAACCTAGACCACCTGATCTATTGGGAATTTGATTGTATATAAATATGTATTTAATTTATCGGGTAAAAATCACAAATCATTCAAGAAATCTCTATGGTAAAAAGACATTATAATATATAATAAATATCTTTTCAATCTGATATATATTTATGGTTTGGTTTGGCTTTTGTATTAAAAGTCAAATTGTCCGTACATGCGCAGGAGTGTTCGACATTCACGCCCTCAACGGTGTGAGCAATTCTCATCGTATTTAGTGTTTCACATTTTTATTCTTTCATAATATTTTTTAATTGAAAGTTGAAATATCACATTATTAATTATTCCGATACACCTGTTTTCCCACTAAACGAGTGGGGTGGGGGGTTTCTTATATTTGTGTTCAGCTCACAGACTGATTCGCTTTGAGCATACGAGGCTTTATGTTGACCCGTGAGATAAGGATGGTTTACGCGTTGATTCATTATGAGTATAAATGACCTTATATGAATGCCTACGTATACATACACGCTATCCTCTTTAGTATAATGTCAATACACGGCAAGTGAATTATTTGCAATAAAATAATATATTGGCCAGTGCAGCTGACGCCTCGTGTCACTACAAAGGAGTGGGCAGGTGGATTTAAGTAAACAATGTTTTGAAATATACTCTCTCATTGGAAACATCCAGTTCGCTGATTTTATCATATACACTAGTTTTTAAATAATTTATAGTAACCTATATATTTATAGTAATAATTTCAACTTTTTTTGGCTGATTATCAAAATTAAATAAGTTCTGTCTTGATATTGTGTCGTTGGTTCAGTTGCTATCACTACATTAACTATTTATTTATTTTAAAGAGCATAAGTAAAGAATTATTCTGTCATGGTGGCGTCAGTATTGTAGGCCGTACGCCCACGTGCACATGACACGTGTGTATATCACAACACCGTGGCACCGTATAAGGTCAGATGTCCTTTGCCTTCGCACGTTATGCTGTTCATAAAATCTGGAAAATACAATTATTATCACCGAACTTGTTTTCAAGCACATTGATCAAACATCAATAGAAAGAAATCTACTATCGATTCCCATGTTTATATCACAGGGAGCC